ACACATGTGTGAAGACCTTCAATTCAAACGCCTTGGTAAACGAGGCTGGACACATGATCTACGTTGTAACATCTCGAAAAGAAACACGCATGGAACCAGATTAATTCAAATATTTTATAATACTAGTTGATACGCATGACCTCCAAGAAACACTACTCAAAGCGTGCTCATCAGTCGCAATCGTTAATAATGTGTAGCTCATGAGGTCCACCATCTCCATCAGATTGAGATTACTGATAAGACCCTATTTTTGTGGTTCGACCTTTGAAAGAAAAGTTAAGGTGCCGTAGTTGCAGGTATAGTTAAAAGCTCCTTTACATCTGAGTAAAGTAGACAGTAAAATATTGGCGTTAGCATCACTTCCAAGATCTACTCTATCCTCTCGTCTCCCTCTCAACCCCATTCCATCAAAATTGTCAAACCTCTCTCTAAGACTCACCATTTTCCATTCTATCCCCATTCACGTCACACACCTTTCCCTACCCTCACTGACCGTCTCATTTGTCTGTGCACACACACACACACATTATCACCGCAAAGACCCCCTTGATTTGCTCCTTTACGACCTCATAAAGTTGCATTCACCACTGTGATGGTAGAGTGAACGAGCCTGAGACAAAGCATTCATTTGTGATTCAGAGATGCGTGCAATGACGCTGCGCTCATGCGTTTCCAAACGCCAAATTTCATGTAGACTCCCATTCGATCCAGTGACACCATCGTTCTTTGCCCTCTGCGTGAGGCAGCTCATAACACAGAACCACTGACCTTTCACCTACTAACTTCGTGTCCCTTGGCACCACGGATATCGTTGCTGGTATTTGGTTTTCTCCACTTGCATTTTCATTCAGGTGACAGACGGTAAAAAGTGATGATGGAGACGGATGTCGCTAGGATCTTACACATCACACAGCTTCCCACATAGACTATCATGCAAACGCAAGTCCAACAATTGGCTTTCTGTGCTTTCAAGTGCTAGTTGGCCTTTGCTTGAGAAATGGTTTTACGCTCGGTGTTCGTTTCTTTAATCACTCAAACTGTACTTTTCAATCAAGTACTTGAAGCAAGTTTGCTTGCACGGTTCAATTCATTCGCTCTGATGGGCTTTGAGGGAGGAGGAACACTTAAAAAAGATCGCATTCTAAATCATTCCTAAAGCCACGCGGCAAAATTAAGTTGGTGTCTTAAACAGGATAAATCCACGTAAGACTCATAAACATCAAAAGTAGGCAACACTTCCTTCTCCTATAAGAGGAAGAATAGTATTCGTGAAAAGCTCAAAGTTAACCTGCTTTTACTCCGCTTAGGGGGCAGGATGGAAAAGGAAAGTGTACCAATGCAATAGGCTTTCGAAAGAACTACTACTGAGTTCAAAACGCATTCACTTACAGAGGTGTGAATTAAAGGAAGTGTTTAATTAAGGAGATGTGTCGCAGCAGAAGAACACCTCAAAATAAAGTAACGATGAAGACTGTCTACAAAAAGATCACACAGTAAAATACTAGCAGAGAACGGACAAATATTTGTGCCCAATCAAACCAACCAGTAGTCAAAGTATTTTTTACGGTATGACCAAAAGTGACAAAAGTTGGCAGCTGACTGACACATTCGGTCACAAGAAATAGAAATGAACCGATAAATAGATAAAGAGGAATGAGCCAGTGAATCGGTCAGTGTAAGGCAAAGGACTAGCTGGAGACGCCTACGGCCTATCAAACAACTTTCCATGCAAGATAGTAAACCGTTTTCATAGTTGATAAAATGTGCTGCAATGAATAAGGAAAACTTCACATAAATTGGCCCATCACCACCTTGAGAACGCATGCTTTCCCTACATTAAGACCTTATGAACTTTTGTAAATGGTGAGAGAAGTGATGTACTTCGAATCCTTCCCACTTGCTCGGACTGTGCGTTAAGTGCAGAAGTGAGATGGCGCGACTCACGCCAATGCTTGCCATAGGTGGGATAATTTAGTCTAAACGACCACACAGTGCAAAATTTGCATTTTTTGAAGAGTTCAATTTCAATAAACCTGTATCTTGGCACTGTTTTGGCAGAGTGCAATATACCTGCGCAAAAATGAACAGATAAAACTCGCGGTAAGCACAGAATGCGGCAGACGATGCTATCTATTTGGAATAAACTTGAAGCAAATATTGAGTCGAAAAGAGCAGAAAAAGGCATGTATTCAAGTGCAAATATTTGAGCTAACTTATTAGAAGTTAATGGGCCTCTCCTCAAAGTAAAATTGCAATGAGGAGGACATCGTTAGCGAGTAGGACGAAGAACCAGAATTACGAAAACCAAGACTCAAGAACTGGAAGATGTTATCTGTTCTGTATATAATCCTCAAAGTTTGGTAGTCCTCGTAACTCAAAACGGTCTTTAGGAACACGCCCTGATTTAACCACTAATCCGGACTGCCGATTTGCAAACCCTGCAAACTTTAAGAAATGCGGACCTCCAGGCTAGCTCAAGTGGAGGCAAATTAATTCCCAATGATACTTCACCACGAGAGAACGATGAGAGCAAGTAGTGCCGTTTTTGCATTCAATTTGATGATTAAAGCGAAATACGGAGAAGCACAGGTAGAAGTACAGAGAGCCGCATTCGCTAAAACCAGAAGAGAAATAGCTAGCTCACTTCATTTTTCAAAGCCGATTGCTTTCAGCCGTAGTTATTGGAACCAACCATTTAGCTGGTCGCACATTGAATCGGTGGAACTAAGTTTGCCTTATAAAACCAACTAAAGGCTTGGGTGCCACATTCAGAATTGGTGTAGTGAAGCACAAAGCCCAAGACACCAAATCTCCTTCAAAAGCATAATTTCCATAGGTCGCAACCTAATTAATCTTAGGAGCCCAATGACAGAATCATTTAACCCAGCTGCGGCACTATGAAGTTTGATGACTCCACTTTCCCGGTCTGCTTTTTAAAGCATTAACCACCACAATTAATTACCTCATCTACGTATATACTTTTGTGATTCCTTCCTACCCTACAATCACTAATTTCAGTCCTTTTATGCATGAATGTTATATATGTGATACTATAGGGATAATTTCTGCACGCTTCAGTTTACTATAGGAGAATCAGGCGATGCAGAATTGGTTCATTTTGTCATCCCATCGACTGGAACGAATGAAGAAGTTCAAGTCGAACAATGACACAGACGAGAAGTAGTGAAGGAAAGATGTGGATATTGGTGTACGGTTTCCACACGCTTGAAGAGAAATCCAAGGAACAGAGTGTTGAATCGGATTTTTTTGCAAATAAAAAGCGCAGGATCAACTAAACTAAAGGAATTCAGCGGCGTTTTGCCCGTGGATTACGTGAAAAGAAAAGAGGACTGATCGGTTAGGTAAGCAGAATCAATTAGACAGTAACCTCTGTGCGGAATTAGAAAGGACAAGAGCTGAACTCACGGAACCAAATAAATTCTTTTGGTCTAAAATGGGTGAACAAAAGAGGCGTTTATTACTTTTATAATCACGATGCATAACTTGCAAGTTTAAATACAAAGTGCCCGGGTTCCAAAAAGTAGACTACTAAAAAGCGTAGGAACCGAAACATGTAATCGCTAAAAGATTACTTCCAATTATCCAGGTTCTAGAGAGCAAAAGTGGTCTATAGGTGAGGACTATGACACTATCAACCCTCACTCACAACTCCATTTTGTTAAACCGCTGGGCCATTTGAGCAGACAGTCGTTCCTCCAAGTCCGCATTGGGAGGTGGAGGGGAGGTTGCAGTGGTGGTAGTAGTGGTGGGTGAGGTGGAAGAGTCGATTCCACCACCACCGTCTCCACCAACGTTAGAAGCAGAAGCGGAATCAGCAAACATCGCAGTGGCAGAGTGCTCAAGAAGGCGTTGAAGACGCTCCAATTCCCAGGAGCAGAGCTTTCGACGCCGACGATCATCCAGCCAGGTGTCGGGTAGACGTGCACGCGAGTGCATCTGCGCTCGCGGTGGTACTTGTAACAGTGGTGTCTCTGTGAAGACGCAGGATGAAGACGTCCTCTTGTGTAGGCAGACGGAAGAAGTGGCACCATGTGGTGAACGCGACTGCTGTCGCTCTTGCTGTTGTTGCTTCTGGACTCGTGAGAGGCAGAAGATGTCCTGTGGAACCACAATAGGACATACAACTAAACTACTTTAAGCAAAGCATTTGACGATCCCCAAAATTCGGTCCTACGATCATGTAGTCGGACAGTATTGGTAGAGTTATATTGTCAACCACACAGCAGCTACTGACTGATTGAAGCGACGCGTTGGAAAATATGGCGGTGGATGAAGCCGGACTCTAGTTCTTCTGTTACATGCAACTATACCGCCGTATGAAATTAGATGTTCGTTCCATCACTGCCTCTGGAATGAAAACGAAACTGTTTGCAAGTAAGTAATGGCATATTACGCCACATTAGTAGTGCAATCGTCAAAATTGCAGGGTTGTGTTAAGAGGAAGTTGAGGAAATAATAGACGCTCCGAAGATTCACAAGAAGTAAATCACACCGACATGCTCACGACCTACGCGAGTCCTTAACTGAGACCCAGCGAAAACCTATGTGTGTGAAAATCCAGTACAAAAGATCAAAAAGTTGTAAAGCAATAGTGGATAAGTTAAAAAAACGGGGAGTTTTCGCTATCTACCAAGCATTCTAGGATCAAGTCAGCTTTCAAAGCCGGGAGTTGCAACCAAGGTAATAGGAAGGCCTGCAAGAAAAGCATCCTCAGATGATTCAGCTACCTTATAGTTTAGCTTAGGCACAGCGATATTAAATACTAGAATCAGAACATGGAGCAGAAGTACCAGAAATTGAGTGCAGTTCATTAAACTTATTTCAAGACGCTTTGGAATCAATCGAGGTGTGCATTTAAAAGTTAGAATAAAAAGTAACGCAAAAAGTTCAAATAATCACAAAAAATAGTCCACAGACTGAATTCTTATGAGTTCATTCCCTCTTTACCGTTCTATGCTCACCTTCCAAAGGTGCATTTATCAAGCCATTCAGGGAAATGGAGTAGTACGAAGCTAATGATGGAAAAGATGGGAAAGGGTGACGCTAAGCCTAACATCACACGCTTTGTTGCAATTTCAAAACGGAGCGCCGCCATGTGAGACGTCAAGTGTGCCAAAGCCAGGAGCTACTGGTGCAGCGACGGAAGCGACGATGGTAGAAAACAAAGTGACATTTTGATTGTTTGAAGGTGGCGTCGAAATTTCCACGATGATGTTCACAGCAAAAAAAGCAGTGTTTAGCGCTACTGTAATTCTTAAGTGAACTAGTTTCATGGATAAAAATTGAGGTTTTAAGACATTCCGATGAAAGAATGACCAGGAAGTAGTACCTTTGGGGAAAGAAATAATCCAAAAAAGATTGTTTCCAGGGTCCTGGTTCCCTAGGTTGGGCGTCACAGATGCGTGACACTTATTATTTATTGGCGTAAGGGAGCTAATTGCACGGAAGCGCGTCCCAAGAAAATTAGCTGACTTGAAAACGATAAAGTAGATGTAGAATGTTCTTGGTATGGGAATAATTACATGTTTTAGCTACTGAATTGGTCAAGTGGGTAGCGCGAGTGTCATAGTATAAAAATAAAGCCTCTAAAATATTGCGATTCACTTTCGTCCTAAAAAATTCTGGTAGTCAAAGTGCTAAGGAAATATACTTTGAAAAAGTGATGATAGAAATAACAAAATTCAAATGCGACCATACAAAAGAGGAAGCTATTACTAGGGTGGAGGATTAGCCACTTGACAGGAAGTTCTTTTGACACGGTGTGCTTTCGCTCAGGAAGGAAGCCAAAAAGATTTGTGGAAAAGCGATCACAAAAAAAGTTGAATGAATAGGACAGTATAGTGTACCATTTATCGACCTAAATGTGATAAATAGATCATAATACAAGGTTACGATAGTCAACAGGACTTTGATAAATAACAACAATGATTCCGTGATGGCATCTACCCTAGGTGTGTTTACACAGGAAATACCGAAATTTTGGACAAACAACACTTTCCCACGCTAAAGGTACTTTAAAGAAAATCACAATTTGGTAATTTTATTGAGGATGTCGCAAGAGAAAGCTGGAACAAGTCGAAAAAAATATCTTGAAAGTCCACACCTAGATCATCATGGCCGGATGCCGAGGTCGTACTGTCTGAGAGCAACAACACTTCCGATAGTCTAAGCAAATTGAGAGCGCCGTACAGGGAATTGCAGACAAATGCGTCTGCGACGTGCGACCATCCCCAAATTCACTTTCCACAAGAGAGACACGGTGCAACACCAAGCATCCCACCAACAATGATGTGATGCACAGCATCTTCGGAGAGAATTCAAGCCCCAGACCTACATCTCAACAACTCCAGGATGCTATGGCAGTACAAAGCTAGAAACCGAAGCGCAACTAAGGATGAGAAGAAGAATGTAGAGCAGGAAATCGCAGGTGAAAAAAGTAGTATTGCATAAACGTAGGAGTGTTCAAGTATGATGTTCTCAGAATTTAGTAGTCTGACGGCATGTACAAAAATTACACATAATAATTTGCCCTCAAAAGTGAAATTCAATGTCAATAATGGGATGATAGCATGAAATCCAAGAGCGAACCTGATCGAATGGCACCAAACTGCTTGAAGTAAATTCTGAAGGTTAATAAACCTCCTGGAGCAAAAGGTCTCCTCATAAGCTTTCCGGTCTTCCAAAACGTTTTAACAACGAGTTAACCCTCAACTGTTGCCCCATATAAGAATCTCCTTCCCACTTACTGAGTTGAGAAGGCAACAGTTTCCGATACGCAAGACTTTTCCTCTCCAAAACCATACGACTTAAAATTACGAATGTTTGAATGCAATGAGAGGATTTGGTGGAGCACTGTACTGGTTAAACACCAATTAAACAATCTGTAAGCCAGCCAGTGTCGATCTCTTCGTGAAAAAATTTCCTTCAATTTACTGCCCCTTAGAAGCAGGCGGTTTTGTCATGAATACGCGCATCATATATGCCACGGAAAGATTCCTCACCTTTCCAGTTAATTACAAACCTTCATTATTCCACATTAGGGACACCAACCATCTAGCGATAGGGTCACATTCCAGCATCCATTCGTTTCATCTTTCACTTGACTTCATCAATGAACCAAAGAGCCGGCTTGAATGTTGACGACCAATGTTCCTTACTGCAGTCCACTCTCGCCTGCTCCATTCAAGCATTATGCAACCATGAACTGTAGGTATAGAGGCATTTCGAGTTGTAACTGGTCGACCTACCAAACGATGCATTGAGGGTGATGTCGTATGTACTCTGTGCTGATATTCAGTAAAAAAGAATTTGAGGGCGCATTGTCTGCGGGAAAAGTTGACCCCTTGGTAGAAGTTGTTTCAGACAACAGATAAATTGCCTTAAGAATATAAATAAATTCATTTCCATTTCTATTTCGACTCGATAAAAAATGTTTACTACCACAATCCCAGATAAGAGGAGTGGTGGTTTAAGTTTGTCAGTTTGACGTCAATCCAAATTTACCCATCACATCTCGAAATTAAAAGAAGTGCAACCATGGCCAGACCAAGAACGACTGCCATGCACACTAGTGTGAAATTCACCAATGCAATTTTGAAGTACCGATTGATTAATTTGTTAAGACAAAGGGAAGACATATCAATATGAAGGAAATTTCATGCATGTCATGAAAACTGAGCAAAGTAATGGTGAAATGGAATCTCTGAGGTGCAAAAGCGACACTCCTATGCTAAAATTGCATGAAAAAGTAAATGGCGAAGAAAAGTTAGCCGGTGGCTCGATGAGAGTACTAAAAGGGAAGACAAGTGCACAACTTGTGTCAGGAGGTGTGAATCATTGGGGTGCACAAAATTAAACTCCTCCATGTTAATTGAGAACTAGAAATTCTAGACACATGAAATTTTTAGCCTGCATTTCTTTAATCAAATAGTCTCAAAAAAAGATTTAAGCGTCTTTTCAACAGGAGGTTAATTAGGGTATTTTATTAGGAGGTTCGTTGTTTTACGATTTCCTTCTTTAACATATGGGGGGAAAATGAAGATCATCTGCTCATACAGTAACGGAGGGTTTGATCAAGCATTCAGGTTTATGGCTTTCAATCCTATCTTCACGCTCTATCCAAGAATATGCCAAACCCTTGCAAAAATGGCCAAGTGAGGAAGTCACTAAGACTTTATTAACTATCCTGATGATCCTCCCGAAAAATATAATATTACGGACATGTACAATCATGTATTTCCCACCTACCATTCGAAGTGCGATTCATCCTCAGAGTTAAAATGAGGAAAACTAACTACCAGGCTCTTTCTTGGCATTTACGCCATGATTTCTTCCACTTACTCTAACTACTTCTAAGCCCACGCTTCACGCTAAAATCAACACAGGCAACTTCTCCCTTGTGTGGCCTCACTGGACCTTAGCATAATCTTTTGAAATCCTTGGGTCTACAGTGGCTTTGAAAAAAACAGCAAATTTTTTTAATACCGCCGTGCCGACACGTCCCAGTATTATACGTCATGTGCACACGTGTGTTGAGGCCCAAGTGAGAGGTAAAGGGCAATTTCCTGTTATTTTTTGCTAAACTTCTAGCTTTAGAAACGAAAAGGTAGCTTAAAAAGTAGAGCTATCGCTATTCTAAAAAGAACTAGTAACTGCTTGCAAACCGGATTGAGTCCCTTATCTTTTGCACCTTCATGGCCTCTCTTTGGTCAAATAAGAGGAAAAACTTCGGGTCTCTACGTACTTCCCATACGTGCAGTGCAGCCTGGCGTAATGAATGCCACTTCTCGAGAGGTCTGCGCACTGAAAGGGAACCAGTTCTCGCAAAGTTATCACTTTCCAAAAATTGCTCTTCCGCCACCCGTCTATAAAAAACATCAATTCACATTCGCGAACAAGAAAAGTTAACTACAAGTTGTCAAAAAGTACGATTCTTTATAGGCCAGTGAACACCAAATTTAAGTTAATTACTAAAAGGACTACTTCACGATCGGTTTCGATTTAACAGCACAGAAAGTCAATCACAAACCTACTTCTCCCAAACACTAGGGTGGAGCATATGTCAGTATGCTCCCGCACCATAATCTATAGTCCAAGCTATTTTAAGTGAATTTTCAAATGCGTAACACGCTGACGCCCTCCGTCTCTAGCCTTCCGCCTGTCTCCGCTTGGAGCATGGAAACCACGAGCACTTCGTTGAAGTCCTCACCAATATCCGTGGTTTAAAGGAGCACGAAGTTTGTAGATGAGAGGACAGTGGCTCTGTGTCATATGCTGCCTCAAGCAGAGGAAGTT